TCTGGCCTTGGCTTGCAATTTGTCAATTTTATTGTGAATGACAGATTGCGGAAACTCCTCCAAATCCGGTCCGTACAATTCTCGAGCGTACTCGTGAAATGGTAGCGGTGATCTCCCTCTCCTTGACCGTTCTCTTCTTCGTCTTTCCGCTCTTGTCTCTCTGATACTCTGCACATAGCAGAAGCTCAATCAAGTTTTTCTCCAAATCATCACTGAATACTACTCGAGGCATGATGGTCGACAACAGAAAATTTACAAACAGCACAGCTACCAAACAGCTACCGAACAGCTACACAACAGCTACACAACACGAACAAGAAAACACTACGACTCGGAGGAGTTTCAGAAGAGATTAACCCTTCATCTGATCACTGAGGAACAAAGGAAGAGGCCGACTTCAAACACAAACAGGAGACTGATGCTCTACGTATGACGGCCGGGTACAAAACAAGTTGTAGCTCCGAACAGGAAATGGAGCGCGAAAAACGACGAAAACGACAAACGTGGCTTTCTACAGGGGTGCGCCGGTTGCTGAAAACCTACAAAGCGCATTTTACATTTCGCGCCCGTCGCCTTGACGATTTCTACTGTAATGCCGTTTGTACGTGATTTTGTACCTAGTGTGGTTGCAGCCTTACGTACAAATTACAACTATGTACAACTAGGCGAAAACGGTGGACAGAAGAAAAGGATTGTTGTAAATGTTGAGTCACCTCCACCATTACACTGCGCTCTTTAGCCGACTAGACCCTCCTGCACACAACCATCACCATTGCGAGGACACTTCCGTGGACGATATTGATAAACTCCTTCAGACAGCTGTTTCGCTAATACATAGCTCATCAGTGAAGGTAGATGTTGAATGATTAAAAATATAAACCAAACTGCTATTATATAGGGGGTTTCCACATACAAAACTGGCATAGCTGAGGTGATAACGCGGGAAAAGGAAAGTGTGAAGAAAGTGTCCTCGCAATGGTGATGGTTGTGTGCAGGAGGGTCTAGTCGGCTAAAGAGCGCAGTGTAATGGTGGAGGTGACTCAACATTTTCTTCAATGGCCGAGAGCTCTGTCGCACCCTGTAATAATAGGATTGTTGTAAGGGAGAAGAAACATGTTCAGTTTCAAAGCCTGCTAAATGAACTAGAATGTCACACACTTTTGTCGAAAAGGAAGGAAGATCTAAATGTTAGATGTCACAGAGCTGCCACTCTGCGGTGCGTTGAGTCAGTGGCTCAATCTTCAGGCGGGGATACTGTACATTCATATCCCTAGCACGTTATACTCATACCGTACATTCATATCCCTATAGCACGTTATACTCATACCGTACATTCATATCCCTAGCACGTTATACTCATACCGTACATTCATATCCCTATAGCACGTTATACTCATACCGTACATTCATATCCCTAGCACGTTATACTCATACTGTACATTCATATCCCTATAGCACGTTATACTCATACCGTACATTCATATCCCTAGCACGTTATACTCATACTGTACATTCATATCCCTAGCACGTTATACTCATACCGTACATTCATATCCCTATAGCACGTTATACTCATACCGTACATTCATATCCCTATAGCACGTTATACTCATACCGTACATTCATATCCCTAGCACGTTATACTCATACCGTACATTCATATCCCTAGCACGTTATACTCATACCGTACATTCATATCCCTAGCACGTTATACTCATACCGTACATTCATATCCCTAGCACGTTATACTCATACCGTACATTCATATCCCTAGCACGTTATACTCATACCGTACATTCATATCCCTATAGCACGTTATACTCATACCGTACATTCATATCCCTAGCACGTTATACTCATACCGTACATTCATATCCCTATAGCACGTTATACTCATACCGTACATTCATATCCCTAGCACGTTATACTCATACCGTACATTCATATCCCTATAGCACGTTATACTCATACCGTACATTCATATCCCTAGCACGTTATACTCAGGGTACTTTATAGTTTATACATGTACTGAAGTTTCCCTCCTGCAAACTCGGCTTCCAGCCGAGTCTCACCCGAACCGTGAAATTTTGTTTCCCTGCGCATGTACTTGCGTATTTTACATGTGAAAAAGATCTCTGCGCAGCAATGCATGATGATGATGTAGCCTGGGTTGCTCTGAGCTGCTTTGCACTGCCTTGAAGAGCTCAATCATGATGAAGCAGCTGCTGCCTTGGATTTGAGCAATGTTAACTTATAAACGAGTCATGCATGTACCAGTACAAGTAGTGTGACGTAAGCGTGAGGTCGCTACCCATGTCCTGGTACATACCCATGTACCCGTGTACGTTCATATTGTGAGATTTCTTTCTGTGTGCCATGCCGTGTTCTGCTTTCAAGGGTGATGCGGAGATCAGCACGCATTGGTTCTCGGAGTCCGGCATTATCGATGTGTTCCTCTTTCTCGGCCCTAGTCCAGCTGACATCTTTCAGCAATATGCCACTTTAACTGGCTACTCTCCACTGCCTCCCGTATGTATCATTGTCTAGTGTAGGGTGCTGGCTGACTAGTGAGCTGGTGTTTATTTGTCTCTGATGTACTGCATGTAAGCAGCACTTCAGTTTTTTCTTGTACCGATAAGCCAAGTCATGTAATGGGCTTTGAAATGTTGTTCCATGCACCCAACTCCTGCCTGTTCTGTATGCGTGCGAATGCTGTCTGTCGCTGGTATTACTCAACTCGTTTGTTGCAACACTCTTCCTCCCCCTACCCTCCATGCACACACACACACACACACACACACACACACACACACACACACGTCACATGCCCATGATCTGTGTGTGCATGCGCGCTCGTGTGTACATGTTTGCTCTCACCTTCTTTCTCTCTGCGTGCCTCTTGTTGTGCAGATGTTTGCGATCAGCTATCACCAAAGTCGCTGGAACTACAACGACGAAGGAGATGTGTACAAGTAAGCATCTCACGATTTCTATTGCTGTTGTCAAACTCATGAGGGGAATATACTGGTAGTGCAGTGTGTGTGTTTTCTGGTGGCACCAGTATGCATTTGCACATGTACAGTGCTGGAAACTGAAATCCGACCACTGAGCGGTGCGCTCACATCGCAAGGACCCAACACAGGACTGTAACGCTATGAAATAGAGACCGCTAGAATGTGAACGCACCGCTCAGGGGTCTGATTTCAGTTGCCAGCATTGTACTTGCTGTAGGTACTGTACTTTGAAGTATGATGTTGTATATACAGTGCTGGCCTGTGAAATCCCACCGCTCGCTCGAAAAATCCGCGTTGCCAGAGTTACTTGGTGGACGTGTGAACTAAGCTGGGTTGTGCAGCTGCCCGGGGCTGCTTGACTTTTGGTGCGAAAACATGTGCAGTGGTGCAAGTGGCTATTATCCTCAGACTACACTGGGTGTAAGCAGCTACTATATGCTGTGAGATGACAGCTCTAATAAGCTGCAAGGAGGCTGGGAAACCTGCTGCATTCCTGCCCACTCCCAAGCTAATGTCGCTTTCCACATTTGTTCCTTGTACAGTGTTGTGAATGGGTTTGATGAAGATGAGATTCCAGTCGATGTCATCTGGCTGGATATTGAGCACACCAGCGAGAAGAAGTAAGTGAGGGCATAGATAGAGAGGGGGGGGGGGGGGGTTCTACGCACAGTCCACGTTGTCATTATGCTATCTTCATGCTGTTCTGTCACAAAGCCTTTCTGTCACCCAAGCTTTTCTGATCATCCTACCATGGAGTTCAGTCTAACCTTTGGTGGGCTTCTGCTTCGCCACTGGGCACCATTGGTGTTGTGTGTTATCTTCAAGTGCATTTTAGTTGTTCACTTTACAGCTACCAAGGTGGGCTGATGGCGGGGTTACGATGCTTTGTGTTGTGCAGATGTGGTCAGGTATGTGGTATTACTGGCATGCATGCCAACCTCCATGCATTGCCATACTTGAAGTACAGTTCTTCCAAGTCAGAGCCGCACCGAAGTATGCTCTGCACCCCCATTAACTCGTTCTGGCCTGTGTGCTGTGTGTGTGTGTGTGTGTACACGTGTGTGTGTATGTGGGTGTGTGCGTGTGCTGGTGGGTGTGTGTGTGTGCATGTGTTGGTCATTGCAGATACTTGACATGGGACAGGGAGCGCTTCCCTGACCCGGAGCGCATGCAGGACCAACTGTGGTCGGTGCATCGACGCGTAAGTGTGTGCTTCATCTTCCCTGTTTAACCCGGCACAGCAGTACAGCACAGGTCTACTTGTCAGGTCTTTGGTTGTGTGTTTAGCCCAGTACAACACAGGTCTAACGTTACTGGTCCAGTGTTTAGCGCTAGGAGTTGGTGCAGGTGTCCGGGTGGACACATGTGTGAATGCAGAACTTATTCTTTTAGCTGATAGCTGAAACACTACTCTTTGTTTTTGCTTTGTTCTTGCACTGCAGATGGTATCTATCATTGATCCTCACATCAAGCGAGAAGATGGCTATCATGTCCACGATGTACGTGCTCTGTAGCATCAGCAGTGAAATAGATAAGATTTAAGAGTATAAATGTCAGCACTGGGTACAGTCTGAACACCGAACTAGACAACTGAGCTCGGTGTTGTTCTCTATGGTGGTGCCAGAATCATCGGATTTGTCTACACTCGTACTTTCTACTGTTGACTCTTGAGATGTTCAAGCAGCAATGCCTATCCCGCTCAGTGCTAACAAGTGAAGTTCAAAGCAATTGTGGTCTCACGGTGTGTATATACCAGTATTCTGTTTGCACAGCTGTCTCCCTGTGGCTGCAAAGTATTTCCAGCTTTCTGTCATAACCAAGAGTATGTAACATTAATGTGGTGTTGTCTCCGGTATCCTTCCAGGAGGCCTCACAGCAGGACTTCTACGTGAAGTCTCGGAACGGCAGCGCCTACGAGGGCTACTGCTGGCCAGGTTGGTTTCTGAGAAATGCTTGTGATGGCAATTGTCCATATCATGTCCAAATAGTTGCGAAAGACTGATGTTATGGGGAATCTCCACTGCTGCTTCTCCAAACATCACTCTGTGCCACAAGCTGTGAATTCTTCTCTGGAACGATTATGTGTGTTGTATTGGAGATACTCACTATCCAGAGCTGAGTATGCCAGCGGTCTGCTCTAACGCTATCCCTTGCATGTACCTGTGCAGCAGACCAATGGCAATGCACTCAAGGTACCACTAATCTGAATTGATCTCAGAAATATAATTATGCACAGAAGTGTCTAAAAATTGCCCGACCACCCGGTCGGCCCGTCTAGACCTCACCCTCAGCACACAATTCGTATGTTTCCATATTGCCATATGTGTAGTGTTTGTGAGACGTTCCTGGGCCTGCACTTTCGGTGACCCTGGGGCTGTGAAATGTCCTTTAACATAATTTTTACCAGTTCATGTAATTTTCTACGAATTGCCCGTTTGTGCACACACGTCACACTTCACAGGTCAGTCGTCTTGGATTGACTTTCTGAATCCCGCTGCACGTCAATGGTGGGCAGGGAAAATGTCACTGGAAAAGTTCATGGTAAGATCTACTGACCATGCGTACTGGCCAGGAGTAACCTTGTAGCGGTGCTGCATGTAACTTAAAAATGCTGCTCTTTCAACTCCAGTAATGCTGAACATACTCTTTTCTGCCCAGCTTGCTGCTTCTCTCATTGGTTAACACACTATTACCGTAAAGTACCGCGAGAGCGCCCCGTCTCGCGAGAGCGCCCCACCTTGATTTTACAGCCAGGGAAAGGAAATCCGTGTGGCAGAGTGCAACGAAGTTTGTACGGTATGAGAACCTTATTGTACTAAGGTCACACTAAGCAGGGTTTTGTGTGGAGCTCGTGTCCGCTCGACGGTACGGATTGTCTGCAGAACGTGCAGTATGTGTACAAAGTTCGTGTTGTATGACCTACAGACAGGAGACCACCTCCACAATACGACCACGAAAGGATGATGGTGGGGCGCTCTGGTGGTACTTTACGGTACTAGTTTGATGGTGGGGCGCTCTGGTGGTACTTTACGGTACATGTACTAGTTTTTCAGTGTGAGCTGTTCTCGTTTGGGCTGTGTTGTTCTTGTCTGCCGGGCTAATTGCATGTGTGGGCGTGTACGTGGATATGCGTGTCCTTGTATGTTTGTTTGTGTCCATGTCTGTGTGCCAATGTGTGTGTGTGTGTTTGTGTGTTTGTGTGTGTGTGTGTGTGTGTGTGTTGTGCCTGTGTGCGTGTTGTGCCTGTGTGCTTGAAGGGCTCTACCTTATCTCTATTTGGCTGGAATGACATGAATGAGGTAAGTACCATGACTTCCAGTGTATTGAATCTAACACAATACACGTACAACGCAAATGCAAACTTTAAGGGTATGCGACTGCCATGAATCCAAAGCCCACCTTTGTGCATGTGTATGTCCTTGTGAGGCAGCATTAGCATCAGTGTTTCATGGGCGTCTTGTTCTGTGTGCTGCGTATTCCTATTCAGCCCTCTGTGTTTGACGGTCCCGAGATCTCCATGCACAAGGATGCCGTGCATGACGGAGACTGGGAACACCGGGATGTGCACAACATCTATGGCTTCTACCAGGTAACGTTGTGCTGCTAATAGCCTGCTATGTCATGCTTTGTCATGCCACTGGTATGCCAGGTTATGCCATGTTATGCTACTGGTATGCACTGTACACTGTGTGTGTGTGTGTGTGCCTAACTGCAATGTTCATTGTACACGGATGTTTGAGTTTCGGATCCAGTTCCAATGTTTGATGCACTTGTACAGGACATGAGGAATGCTGAAATAACGATTCATTCTAATCAAGGAATTGTTTGATATCTGAGGTGTATTTGTTTACGTAAATGCTTCTTCCTCATACCACAAAGGATGTACATTGATCCCCATGGGCCATGCTTCACACAAGCTGCTGTTGGTATAATTACAGCCATGGAACTCCTTCAATATCCCCCTTCAGGGTAATATGCTAACAGCTCTGCTACATACTTATCACTGTAAAGAGTATAGGGGATGCAGACAATACTTATCACCCTAACAACGGATGCAGGTTAAAGTACAATTTTACTATCTCCACAATGATTATTAATAATATAGCTTTGCTACAATTTTGTGATTGTATGTGAAAATCTTAAAACCGGCACTTGAATCATTATTCCTAGTGCCCTCTATTGTGTACTTGTGAATGCAGCACAAAGCAACCATGGATGGTATGCTGGCAAGGTCTGATGGCAAAGTTCGACCCTTCGTCTTGTCAAGGGCTTTCTTTGCTGGCTCGCAGCGCTTCGGTTAGTGATAATGTTTATGCTGACCAGTGTTTGTAGTATTTCCACTGGATTGCCGAAAAATGAAGCACATGCTGTCTCTGAAGTGAAGGTTCTATTAAAAAAGTGAATTTAAGTCATGAAAATGAAGTGATTGATGGTCCGTATTTTGAACTATTTTCTCACTCATGTTTGCAATGGCACATGCCTCCTGTCCCTAGAAATGCGGTAGGGAAGGCATGATCCAACCTGGTACATGTCCCGTTATTTTCGCACAAGTTTAGATATGAGTTTTAAAGGGGAAGTTAAGGCAAAAATCAAAATTTCACCAGTTGTAGTCTTCGGGGTGCTGAGTCGAATGGTCTTGGTCCGAGAAAGCTGAGCCGCTCCCTTCCTACTTGAATCCCAATCGAACTCGCGCACTTCCACCAAAACTGGGTGACTGCGCCCTACTAGATGGGGATTTGTATGCAAAATGTCACTAAAAGCGCCATTTCGTTCTTATAAAAGCACGGATGACCGCGATTGGCCCATATTTGTAGTCTTTTGGACGCTGAGTCGACTGGTTTTGGTCCGAAAAGGCTGCGATGCAGCGTTCCTCCTTTATTCCCAAATCAAACATGGTTGAACAAGCGGTCACGTGCTCCTGGGTGCCCAAATCACCTGGTCACCACGCCAGCAGGCGACAACTTTCACACGCCAGCAGGCGACAACTTTCACACCAAGGTTCAACTCGAGTTCAACTCGAGTGACAGGACTGCACCCAAAAAAGGTCAAACAGGCTAGTAAGTTGTACCCTGCAGGCACGGTGACCAGGTGACTGGTGTAACGAGGAGCACGTGACCACTCTTTTTTTCTCTCTCTCTCTCCTCTCTCTCCTCTCTCTCTCTCTCTCTCTCTCTCTCTCTCTCTCTCTCTCTCTCTCTCTCTCTCCTCTCTCTCCCTCTCTCTCCTCTCTCTCTCTCTCTCTCTCTCTCTCTCTCTCTCTCTCTCTCTCTCTCACTCTCTCTCTCTCTCATCTCTCTCTCTCTCTCTCTCTCTCTCTCCCTCTCCCTCTCCCTCTCCCTCTCCCTCTCCCTCCCTCTCTCTCTCTCTCTCTCTCTCTCTCTCTCTCTCTCTCTCTCTCTCTCTCTCTCTCTCTCTCTCTCTCTCTCTCTCTCTCTCTCTCTCTCTCTCTCTCTCTCTCTCTCTCTCTCTCTCTCGCTCTCTCTCTCTCTCTCTCTCTCTCTCTCTCTCTCTCTCTCTCTCTCTCTCTCTCTCTCTCTCTCTCTCTCTCTCTCTCTCTCTCTGTCTCCCTCTCTCTCTCTCTCTCTCTCTCTCTCTCTCCCCCTCTCTCTCTCTCTCTCTCTCTCTCTCTCTCTCTCTCTCTCAATGTACTTTTTCTATTGTGTTGTTCTCTCTCAATGTACTTTTTCTATTGTGTTGTTACTTTTTGAAATCTTTTTGAAATGTTTTATTTTTCATGATGGCCGGTGCCCAAAGAGAAAGTTGTTGTCGTCTTATAGTCATCATAGTCGTTGCCATCACATTGCATTGTTCTTGCTCTTGTCGTTGAACACACAGGGCCAGTGTGGACGGGCGACAACACGGCGGACTGGTCTCACCTGAAAATGTCCATACCCATGCTACTGTCGCTGGGCTCTGCGGGACTTTCATTCTCCGGTGGTGAGTGACACTAATCAGTAGCCACCACTCTTATGTACATGACTGTGTAGCATGCTCTGCTCACTGATCTAGCATGCTCTGCTCACTGATCTAGCATGCTCTGCTCACAGGTATATTGACTCTCTTCTTGCTGTATGCTGAGCAGATTTCCCTGGCCATTTCCTGCTTTTCCTGTTGTCAAGTACCTTACTGTTCCCATTAACTGTTATCATCATTGGCAATCGGCAGTCTCTGGTGCCGTGGCACTTGGCTTGTATTCATCTTTGTTGTGCTTCCCTTCCTTCCCCTCGCTGATCTTTTCTTACCCGTGAATCGTCCAAGTTGGACTCTATTGGTTTGCGTATCGGGGATGTGTTGGGGCTAGGTGTCGTGTCGTGGAATGTCACTGTACTCTGTCAGTTTTGTGAATACCGTATTATCTCTATATATAAGCACAGTCTCCAATAATAGCACGTCTCCAATAATAGAACACCTTGGGGTGGCATTCAACAAATAAAGTGCTCAGTCTCCATTATAAGCACACTGTGTAAATTCATTATCTGTACCGGCGAAAAGCCCCTGAAATGTGTGTGTCTGACATGAATTTGGCATGGCAACATGCCTCTGAAATGAGGTTGAAATAATAATGGAACAGTCTCCAATAAAGGAACGTCTCCATTAATAGCACGGGCCGGAGGTACATTGAAAAATAAAGGACCGTGCTTATATTAGAGATAATACGGTACTGTAAGTTGTCGCACTCTCTAACTGTGTACCGTATTTTCCAGAGTATAAGCCGCAACTAGATATTTTGTCACGAAATACAGACATCTACCCTATTTGTCACTGCTAATTTGACCGTCGTTGCATAAGTCGCAGCATTGACTTTTTTTTAGGGTGAATTACTGGTGTTTAAAGTGCGGCTTATGCTCCGGAACAATACGCTACATTGCCTATTGCTATGGTGGTGGACAGTTACTCGAAACTAGTATCCATGTGTCCCTTTCCTCTTTACAACAGTTACCCACCCTGACTTTCTACCTTTTTGTTTTGTTTTCAACTTTATGTTACGTAGCTGATGTTGGTGGCTTCTTCGCCGACCCGGATGTGGAGCTTCTTCTGCGATGGTATCAGGTATGCACCTGCATGCCAGAGAAGTGTTAATGTCAAACGCATGAGACTAGCACTGGTATCTGTACAGCTCTAGAAAGTCGAATAGTGGCCCGCAGCGCCGGAAGTTGAATATGTGCTCCTGGGCTGGACCGTCAGGCTTCGTGGGTCAGGGCGTGAACTAAATCATAGGATAGGGTTTCGAAAAGGGAAGTAGGACTTGGTGGTGCTTATCCTGGCTCATGCATGTCCACCAACTCCACCACGGTCTTCCTCACTGTCGGTGCATGGAAAAACGGTCGTTAAGAGCAGGTGATCGCTAAACACAGAGATCGCTTACACCAGGTTTTACTGTATTCTGTACCATGCGTGTAATTCTTCTGTTCACAGGCTGGTGCTTACCAGCCGTTCTTCAGGGCCCATGCACACTTGGACTCACGTCGCCGAGAGCCGCACCTCCTGCCGGAGAGGGTGCGCCAGGTGGTGCGCAGTGCGGTCATGCAGCGCTACATGCTGCTGCCTTACTGGTACACGACCTTCTGGACGGCTTCCAAGACCGGCTTGCCTGTCATGCGGTGAGTCCACCATGGCTGGAACGTGTACATTTGTATAGCATTGGTAACGAGATGGCTTGCTGCTTGTGTGATGTGAAGCACTTTTTTCATTATAGTTGGCTGAGCAAAGGTGGACATGCCATGGGTTCGATCTGTGTAGTATCTATGTACGATAACCTTGGCCTGTCTGGTGGAGTTCTGGATTGTGAATAGCAAACTGCCGCAAAATTGCTGGGAACAGCAGTGTTTGTATGTCATAGTTGCTTAGAGATACGACTGAAGCAAGCCATAGCAGTGCGTCTATGCTTGCAGATAAACCCTACAAGTGTAGGACTAAAGTTTGCGTTGCATCTGTGGATGAACATGTACCACAGCTAGTTGATTTGGGCAAAACGGATGCACGTGCAGATGTATAACTGGTGTGTGTGTGCGTGCGTGTGTGCAGGAGATCATCAAGCGAGGTTGTAATTTGTTTTTTCAACTTTGTACTTCATTTTTGTAGCTAAAGCTGCTGCTTACCCCTTGAGTATACTTCGAAGTAGTATTGTAGTTCTCTCATTGCCATTCTACTGTATGTTGCCATTGAAAGACAAACAGCGGTGAGCTTCCCTGCGTTCAATTTGCCACAACAAGCTGCAGTTGTATGCATAGGGAGTTTACTGTGGTATGCGCTTGTCCTCTTGGCCCTTGTGTGCACAGTCCTCTATGGCTGGAGTTTCCACGTGACGAGAAAGTGTTCGCCCTGGATGACGAGTATCTCATCGGCAAGGACTTGCTTGTAAAGCCTGTCACTGAGTCGTACGCTGAGTCCTGGCCGGTCTACCTGCCTGGCAAATATCAGGTATGTACTCGTGCATCTGTGTATTTGTATTTGTATTTATGGATTCTCCACAGGCCTTAGTGTGTCTGTAGGGGGGGGGGGGGTTGTACCAGTGGGTGTGTATTTGTGGACTATAACATGCTGTCCTTGCTTCAGTTGTATGGCCCTGCTTTGTCCAAGGATGCCCATAGCTCGGCCACCTTAGATTGGATTTCTTGTGTGGATTTGGCTGTACATGTGCATGTGAGCTGTTGCCTGCTGCAAGAGGACTAACATGTTAGTACATGAAAACCGCTGTGTGCAGCTTGCGTACGGCTGGCTGCCACAGCGAAATTCCGGGGCTGCACCACAGTTGCTCTATCTCTTACGTCATAGTGGGTGCTTATAAGCAGAGGGTAGTTCCATGGCGTGTAGAACTGAGCTGTGATTGTGCGACAGGAAGCCTACTCGAGTCCTGCGTGTACACACTGCCACACTGAGTTATGTAAGGCAGGAATGTTGCCATAAGAGCAACTCACTCGAGCTGCACACTTGGTTTTCATGTACAGTCAACTTCGGTAGTAACGACTGCGGATATAACGGCAATTCGCGAATAACGACATCATTTCTATGCCCAGAGCAAAGTCCCGTCCAGCTGTAACACATAATGAGACTTCGGGTATAACGACACTTCGCGAATAAGGACACTTTTCTGATGCCCCGCCGAGTGTCGTTATAAGCGAAGTTGACTGTAGTCTACAATGTTCTCTTGCCTGCTCTCTTGCCTGCTCTCTTGCCTGCTCTCTTGCCTGCTCTCTTGCCTGCTCTCTTGCCTGCTCTGACCAGCGATGCATAAAGTACACTACGATAAAAATGCACTCAATCCTACAAGCTGCAGTGGAGTCTTCAATTTCACACTCCTACGATGACTACACTCATTCCTAAGCATGCATTATCTCTGATGTTGCTTTGTTGTTCAGCTATGGTACAACTTTTTTGACTACGCGCGCTTCACCGGTGGCAAGTCTCACATCATGAAAGTCGGTATAACCACCGTAAGGATTGCTCACTTATCTGCTAGTCCAGTGTGCCCTGCTGTACATGGCTGTTAGTCTATTACATTATGTGCAATTCTGCAGGCTGCATCATGAGCCCAAAACACGAGACCGTGTAGTTGTACCTTGGTTTAATTCTCCTTTGACTTTTAAAAAGTAAAGTACATTTTCGTCTCCATTCCCGAAGGAACTCACGACGATCGCTAACACTGGGAACATCCCAGTCATTTGACTTAGCTGACTCAGCTGGTGCTCTATTTCTCCTGGCATACAGATTCCAGTCTTCCAGCGCGCTGGCAGTGTGGTGGTGACCAAGGATCGACTGCGTCGCTCATCCGAGGCAATGCTGCATGATCCCATCACCCTCAGGGTTGCACTGGACAGCAAGGTAAGTCAGTGCAGTGCAGTGCACGCCAGCTCTTTGGTACCCACTATGGACACTTTGATCACAAACATAATGTTGAATGCCACTTCTACACCGCCTGGCTGGCTGGCTGGCTGGCTATTTCAGCGAAAGCTTGATTTCCCACCCGATAACGATTTGTCTGTCTGTGTGTCTGTGTGTCTGCCTGTATTCTTCAAGTATCTATGTCGTCTTCAAGTATCTATGTCTTCTTCAAGTATCTATGTCGTCTTCAAGTATCTATGTCGTCTTCAAGTATCTATGTCGTCTTCAAGTATCTATGTCGTCTTCAAGTATCTATGTCGTCTTCTAACTGTTGATTTGCTTGTATTGCTAGTCTTTTCTCCTCATAGTCAAGTTTCAACATAATTATGCCCTATTTTCATTCCATCCCGCATGTTGCATCATTGTAAACACTGTTCATGTGACTATGTGTGCATGTTAGGGCTGACCCAAATTTGCCAGCTGAATCTCGATATTTTGCGGCATAATTTTGCTCGTGCATCGTCGAAATTTTGCTTTCATTTTGCTAGGCCACTCGATATTTTGCTCCCTTTTTGCTCCAAAATTTGTGTCACGTGTGAGAAAACTGACCGAAAGTGGGTTACGTGTTGGCAAAAATGAGAAAAAGTGAGTCACGTGTTGGTAAAACTCTGCCGAAATGAGTCATGTGCACCGTATATGTGTAAAATCTCCCAATTCCCAGCCAACACACCGATATTTTGCTCCATTTTGCCAGCAAATTCCCTTTCAAAATTCTTCGATATTTTGCTAGAAGAATTGCTAGCAAATTCGGGTCTGCCCTAGTGCATGTGACTATGTGTGTATGTGACTATGTGTGCATGTGACTATGTGTGTATGTGACTATGTGTGTATGTGACTATGTGACTATGTGTGCATGTCTTCCCAGCTAAGAGCAAGTGGAGAACTGTATGTTGACGATGGGACTACGTATGCGTATCAGAACAATGAGTATCTTCATCGCCGCTTCACTTTCTCCAACAACAAGCTGACATCAAAGTAAGTTCGTGCATGCATGGCGGCATGATGCATTCTCTACCATAGTCCATCAAATTAATGAAGATTTTGATGCAGATCTGTGGCCTGAGAGGGGAATGCTAGATTTTTCCAGTTTATTGGACAACGGTTTGCTAAACACCTCGCAAATTCTGTGCGATTTTCTCCGTTTAAAAAAAGTACTTTCTCTGTACAGTACTATGAATGTCATCATGGACCTACTACCGGGTCCATTGTTGCATTCTAGTTTTCTCCATGTTGCACAAGTGTTCTGCTTGTGTGACATGTGCACCACTTATACATGTACCTGCCATGTAGGTCTGCTGATGAAACTGGCAGTTACAAGACCAAATCCTGGGTGGAGAAAGTCCTGGTAATCGGCTTGAAGCGGGAACCTAACTCCATCATCATGTCTTTGAACAGTAAGTGAATGCTAGTATACTAGTAACACAGTAGCACAATCATATTGCCTGTAGGTAGCTTTACTATGCAACACCACTGTATCCACAATTCATTTTTTGTTTTGAACGAACCGTGCTGTTTATCCGTCTTCCTTCGTTCGACATTTCAATCTTTGCATGCCATTGTCCTGTCTCTGTGCTTGCGTGCGGTCCATGCATGCGTGCATCTGTGTTTGTGTGTCGTCTTATGTGCAGAAAAGAAAATTGACCTCAACTTCTCGTGGCTGAAAGATCAGCGCACGGCAGTGATTCGAAAACCGGACGTTAACCTTAGCAAGGACTTTTCTATAGCTTTCACTTGAATTGACTAGGATGGTAGATCCGTTTTTACTCGTATTCGAAATGCTTTCTTACTCCCTGTTTCATGTTTTTGAGTCATGCTGGCTCTGACAGACTAGCTGCTCCTTCTCCTCCAGCAGCTGTGCTCCACTACCCTATGCTTGGTCCATACTCAGCTGCTCCCACCCCGCCCCGCCTTGAGAGCTATCCATCAGTTGCTGCACAGTGCTTGCTCTTCACTATGGCTGTCGATTATGCTGCTTTTTTAAATTGAACTGCAACAGGGTGTGAGCCTGTCAGTCCCTCAAAGCTTTTAATATATTCTTTCTACTTCAAAGTAGTAGGCGTCTGGGATGATCTGACATCTGCACATGGTGGTTTTATACTTCTGACATGGTGCTCCATCCAAGGAGAGATGGACCAGCTATTGCCTAGATGTTGCCGTGGGCAAGTTGGATCAGAAACACGTGAACTCGGCATACAGTGCACTTTACTCCAGCTTGCTTGCTGTTCGCCTGGATTTTCTTACCTCCATCCCCTTTCAAGTGTTTCTGCATGTATTGGGAGCGATCGTACCCTCAATATCTGTGCGTGCATGTATGTGTGTGTGTGTGTGTGTGTGTGTGTGTGTGTGTGTGTGTGTGTGTGCGCGCGCGCGTGTGTGTGTGTGCGTACGTGCGTGTGTGTGCGTACGTGCGTGTGTGTGCGTACGTGCGTGTGTGTGCACGTGTGGTGTGTGCACACGTGTGTTTGTACTTGTACACAGTGACACACCATGGGTGTCATGACAAGCCATGGTACTAGTATTCAAACATGAGTGCACAAACCCAGTTCTTTCATTAAAATCACAAGCGGCCACCAGGTTGTAGCAGGACGTATGCTTTGTTCCGACTCTTCCGTCATGTTCTCCTGCCAACACACGGAAATAATCGGAGATGAATTAGTTCTAGAACTTACTTCACGGACGGAAATCGTGTGTGTGTGCGTATATCAAGAGGAGATGTTGTACTCTTGTGTAAATTGCTTGGCCTGAAGGCAAGATATCAATCAGGTCAGGTAACTGATGATTCTACCAACCTGTTGTTGATATTAATTAGCGTATGTTCCGTATTGTTTGTCATACCGGTACTCATAATAGGCCAGGGTCAGCCCAGGGCCTAGGGGCCATGGTCTGGGTCACCTGGTCACTGCTGGACTGCTGGTTCGTAATGCATGATCACATGATCAGGCCAGGGAGTCACATGTGCATCTGTGTGACGTCACAGAATAAGTAAAAAGGCGAGAGAAAGAAAGTTTTTTTTCTGGCAGTTTCCATGGAAGTGCACAAGCGATCAAGCAAGCTAGCTAGCTACCGGGTAGGCAGAAACGAAAGAAATTTTTGAGTTTGTTCAGCTTTCCAGTTGACTTAGCTTTCAGAAGGACAAGGAGAGCGCCATAGATTGATGGTGCTGTAGTATTACACCTGAGTATTGCCATCAAAAACCAGAGGGATGAGTTCGCTAGGAACTGGAGTAAGAGACTAGCTGTGTTGTGAGCAAACGACCGAATGAGGAGCAGTTTTCCATTGCGAATGTGTTTTGTTATTTCATTTGGCTACAGTACGATTTGTCAGCGTCCCAATTCTCTCCCGATGGACGTGTATTTCAAGTAGAGTATGCCATCAAGGCAGTAGAAAATAGCAGGTGAGCTTGTCTCATCGTTCTGGTGGGAGTGGTAGGACTTGCATTGTTTGCTGTTTGTGTTCTCGCGTAAGGCATTTCGAATCCAAGAATTCAAAAGTTTTGATTGAGAAAAGAATCGTCTCATGTTTTCACAATGTTAAGTCGATTCTAATTTTGTCAGCCTCCATAACCTGGAGAGGGCATTGGTATGGAAATGGCTGTGTAGATACATGCAGTTGAACAACGCTCTATGGTCTGGTGATTAGGGCAAGCTTTCGGGACACGTACGTCCACACCTGCAAAGCTCTATCCCAAGGATGACCTGCAGGAACAACCAGTATACTCTAGAGATGAATACGCGTAGTATTCGGTGCCTTGGGTACTAATTGGCTGGCAATTGAATAGACCTACGGCATTCCATGAGTGAAAGTTGCTGTAAACGTAATACGCAGCCCGCCCATGGCAATGCTGCTTTTGGTGCTGATTTTTGCAATCATCAGTGTAGCATTGCATCATTATTGTTGCAAATGTATTCTGTACAGATATTTGTATTCTGTTTGTGAATGTTTTTCAATTCCTCAGTACTGCCATTGGCCTGCGATGCAAGGATGGCGTGGTGTTCGGCGTAGAAAAGCTTGTGCAGAGCAAGCTACACGAGCAGTCCGCCAACCGCCGTGTGTTCAACATTGACCGACACATTGGAATGGTATGTTCCTGCAGTGCGCTGGTGTCGTGTGTGTCGCTATGTTAGTCTCGTCAGCCGTCACTGAACTGAACATCCGTGTAATCTTTGGAACAGAGACGTGTGATATTTCTGGTGAAAAGTCCCTGCGATAGAGTGGTTTCACATCCGTGTCATGTGACTGCATTTGTGTAGAAACTATGCATGGTATGTGGACAGTGGAACCAACATGGCCGATACCATGTGACCCACTGATGTAGGGATTGACTGGAGTTGGATCCAGCATGGCTACCCCGTATGGTCTTGTGGTAGATGCGCAACAGCTCTACAATCGTACCGATGACAATAATCTCTGTCAGAGCTTGTCGTGTTGTTTGTATTGAACCCAGGCGTGCACCGCAGTGCATCAAGCATTCTCTTGTAATTTGTCTTCTGCCGCAAATTTGTTATTTCGTTCTAGCAAACTTTCAGTTTGTAGTTCTGCTCACTTTATGAGTTGCTCTGCTGTGTATTGCCCTGGTCAGGTTGTCAGTGGTCTCTTGCCAGATGCACGCAAGGTAAGCCAAGTTGTGTGATTGCATGCTGGCTATTACGTTTAATCAATCTTGATGAGCAACCGTCCAGTTGGCACGTCCAGTGCTATTATTTCCCTTTGCAGGGCCACTCAGGCCTAGATCTCCAGGAGTAGGGAGCACTTTTTGTCTCTTCTTTTTGCCTTCATTGGACACTCACCCCTTGCTTGGACATGCATTTACTCAAAGTAGTTTTCCCGTGGTTTTGAAGCCACTTGGAAAACCAGTGGTCAGGTTTACGGCCGTATACTCCTTGGGAGACTGTATGAGTGTAATTTTCTCCAAGCTGCCGGTGACCGTGCATAGGAAAAAGCCTTCCCCTATGTTCAGTGTGTGTGTATGTGCATATATATGGATACGCGTGCCATTGTATCGCACAAAAAGGAATTTTGTGAATGCAACCGATATGTCATACATGTACTTCGCTTGGATATTACTGTACATGTCCTGTACTGTCGTCACCTTTGGACATCTTTCTGCGGGTGTGACCGACAGTCTGACGGTTTCTTTTACATTATCTTTCATCTGCACAGGTTCTAGATGTTGCGCGTGGCGAGGCTCAGGCATATCGCAGAAAATTCAACCAGGGCATCCCGCTAAAGGTAGAACTTTGAGTGTATTTGAAGACTTTCCCACCCTTATTGGATTTTTGCATCAGAGTCATATGAAAGGCAGATTTGGGGTGCATCATATCTACAAGAAATTGAGCTTTGTTTGTTCTTGCTTCACCATGTCACAAGCCAAGTATGTTCATTTGCTCTTTCTTTGCTTCTGGCACTGTGTACATTACAGCTGTTAGCAGACCGAGTGTCTATGACGATGCATGCGTATACTCTTTACAGTCACGTGCGTCCGTTCGGCTGCAGGTAAGCCTATTGTGTGCTGGCAGCTGCTCATCTTGCATGCCTAGTATCAGCACCAATATTGTCTAACGTGTGTCTGTGGGGTTTTTACTGATGGGAAGCAGATGTTTTATGTTAATGTTTTGGCTGTGTGTGTGTGTGCGCGTGTGTGCGTGTGTGTGTGTGTGTGCGTGTGTGTGTGTGTGCGCGCGCGCGCGCGTGTGTGTGTGTATCTGTTTGCTCCACAGTATTATCCTGAGTACATACGCAGAGCAGACAGGTCCTGAGATGTACATGATCGACCCATCCGGTGTTTCATGGGTAAGTGACGCATTATGCTCTGGCTTATAACGATACATGTACTCGAAGTATTTTGGTGGACTTGGTAAGTATATAAAATCCACTGTGCCGACATTTTCCCAATGGCATTCAGAGCATCTGCGAATCAGCCAGCCTCCATCAGTACTGTGCAATGGATCTATATTCCCTGTGTACAGACACACTTCCAGAATAGCTCGTTAGAGAGCCATCTTCCTCCAAGGACTTCAAGGAGATAGATTGGATTCTCTCACAATGGGTTGCGAACTATGACCGTGATCATGCCATGGGAAACACCATCTGGAAGCTCACCATCGAGCCGATGCCAGAGAATTGAAGCAAAAGAGCATATCGTCAGCGTCTTGCTCCAAAGCAGAGAGAGTACAATGTCATGTATCATATTTCCTTAGCGTATCGTGACTGTTTTGTGCTTGTTTACGTGTGTGTGTGTGTGTGTGTGTGTGTGTGTGTGTGTGTGTGTGTGTGTGTGTGTGTGTGTGTGTGTGTGTGTGTGGTGTGGTGTGGTGTGTGTGTGTGTTTACTCTTTCGGTGCACTCAGGGATACCATGGCTGTGCAATGGGCAAAGCCAAGCAGCAAGCTAAAACTGAGCTGGAAAAGGTCAAGGTAGGTTTTTCATTGCCGCATTCTTGTCGGTGTCGTTGGGTTGTACCGAGAACACTTAGTTCTCGGGACACTTGACTTTATCATTCTGCTAAATGGATTAGGGAGGATTGGTCGTTTTGGACAGCAACATGGTGATTCAACTGGATGTACAATAATGAAGTGCACACACAATTTGTACACACCAGTTGAACGAAAAGGGTGTCGCACTGTTTTTAGATCTGGAAAGCACCGAAAGTTTCCTTTGATGACACACATTTTGTTCAGAGAATGTGTACGGATGACATCATGATGACTGTGCGTGTGGTGTGGTGTAGTAGTAGAGAGGTTCTGCGAAATGAAAATGCGTGCAAACTTTCGCTCTACGTCATGAAGTGAGAAACTTTGGACGCGAAACTTGCAGGGAGCGCGAAATGAACTTTCGTGGAAAGTAACACGGTTAGTTTCGTGAGATGGGTTCATGGAGTACGTGCACTTGGCACCTGCAAACTACGAAAATGTGCAGAACACCAAGTTCGTGCGAAAATTCGTACACATTTTCGCAAGGACCGTCGCGAAACTTCATGCGAATTTTCGTTTTGCAGAACCTCTCTAGTATTCCTTTTTCTTTCTCTTTTTTAAATTCTTTTCCTGCTTTGATAGTGGTCTCTCTCTCTCTCTCTCTCTTTCTCTCTCTTTCTCTCTCTTTCTCTCTTCTGTGCTTGCATAGGTATCTGAGATCACATGCGATCAGTTGGTAAAGGAGGTAGCGAAAATGTAAGTTGTCCCTGGGCAGTCCTGGTGAATGCCTAGGTAGCACCCTTACATGCTACTATTACCAGTACGTGCCCATGGCTGATGACATACTTGTACTTGGAAGTATGCGTAGTTCATTGCTAGCAAGTAGCTTGGAGTCGATGTTTTTCTTCTTCCCTGAAATGTTAATTCCGAGGCAGAGAGAACATCTTAATGTGATCATATCAGCAATGCCATTGTTCCCTCAATAACCTTAAGGGAGGGTTATATTTTCAACTCCATCCCTAGCTTGCCAACAGGCAGCCTGTCAACGAGGCAGCGCTGAAATGGTCACATTATGTGCAGCCCGTCTGTCAACCACCCCGGGCTGAAATTGCACCTTTAATCAGCGGCCTTAGTGCATGCAGTCTAGTATGTGTATGGGCGTCTCTTGCTCATCTGAGTAAGAAGTGATAGACTTCTACTGTGCATTGAAGTTGCAGGCTTGACATGAAGTTGCACGGTTCGCATGTGTCTTGTGTCTGTCTCCATGTACAGCATTTACATTCTCCACGACGAGGTCAAGGATAGGGAATTTGTGCTTGAGCTCAGCTGGGTGTGTGCTGGTGAGTTGAGTGACAAGTAGAATGTGCTATGAAATCACTATGTACATGTACGGGTAAATGATCCTCACGGATAGACGTGCTCCCAGCTAATTTATAATATCTCTATTTTCATGGTGCATTGAATTGGTGTGCACGTTACAGCGGGCTGTTCTCCAGCCTGTGTTACTGTACACTTCCGTAGACTTCATGATGATACTTTCAACTACACAACTCAAATGACGTACCAGCATTGTACGCGTACACGTGGAACTGTCAATTCACTTGACCTGGCTTTACGAAACAAAACAGAGGTTCCAGGCTGTCCCGTTGAGTGCTCAACGCCGAAGGGCAGAGCTAGTTCCAACAAGGTAAGCTTTGACTTGGCTTTTGCGGTTGATCCATCTACGAGTGATGTGTCTTGTGAAAACTGTACTTCGAAGTACAATGTGGTTGTTGCATGTTGTTCTGCTGTTGGCTCTCTTCTCCGACCCTTCTTCATGCAGCGTCTGGTGGCCGACATGAGCTTGTGCCCAAGTCGGTTTATGAAGAGGCAGTACAGGCTGGACAGGTGAGTTTTGTCATTTGTTTGTCTTTTATGTTTGCAAAAAAGCACCTGCAAATTACAAATTCAAGTCTAGGATGTTGTCCTTTTATACTGCTTATTGAAGGAAGCCGTGTCATATTCATTCAATGCGCTCAGTGGAGCAAGAGCTTGCACACTCTCAAGTCGTAGTGGATTGATCCTTGGTGACCAAAGCTGCATGTAGGCCAGCGGTATGTGTAAGAGTGCAACTCCCTGTGTGCGGCCATGTGTGTGTGTGTACATGGTGTGTGTGGGGGGGGGGGGGGGGGGCATGCGCGAGCGTGTGTGTGTGTTGCTTGCTCTTGGTCTTCTCAACACTCTCTATTCTGCTGTCGTCTTGGCATGATACAAACTCGCTCATACGACTGCATCTGTGTTTGTGTGTGTCCTTTCAGTCTGTTTTGGACGACTCCGACTCCGAATCTGAGCTCTAGAGAGTACGCTCTCGCCTGTGCATAGTGCTGGGATTCTGGGGATTTCCTGCGTCTTTGTTCTGCTTGCTGCTTTGCATACTGGAAAGATGCTGCTGTATCATCGCTTCTCTCTCTCCCTCTCTATCTCTCTCTCTCTCTCTCTCTCTCTCTCTCTCTCTCTCTCTCTCTCTCTCTCTTCATTGTTTTTAACCATGAGATTGGATCGGCATTATGCCACTTGTACATAGTTTGCGGATCAGTAGTTTGCGGATTAGCTATCAACTGACTTCGTGCATATTTTACACTCCAATGATTGCTGTTTTTTTTTGAATTTCTAGATATGTTCGTAAATGTTTGCGTTGTACACGTACATGATTGATTGTACTTTCAAAACCAACCCTTGTAACTGTTAACAGTGTTGGTGGAGTACAGATCAGGGTAGAAAGTAACGTTACATCACGGTATAGGTGTCGCTGGTACAGTAGAGTCAAGCACCCAAGACGGTTGGGACGGTTATGATTTTTCAGCTATCTGGCTTCGTTCTACTTCAAAGTAACTTCTTATAAAGCACAGCCTGTATTTTAGGTTGAGCGTGTTCGGGCTCCATGTTCTTGGGCGTGATCCAGGTTGACTCTACTGTACATGTACAGTACTTTGCAACATGTGAGTTGTAAATCAAGAAACAAGGAGTCATGCCCATACCAGCCTTAGGCATGTACGACTCCCTGCGTGGACTGGACTCGATGCCTTGCTTCCTGCGTTACTTGTTTGGCCGCACCATCTGTGACAAAGCGAACAGGCATGCAATGTACAGCTTTTACTAGCGTGGCCTCGCTCTGAGGACACATGATCGTGAGGACCAGGGAGTCTTTTTAGTGCTCCCTATTGAATATGGACATGGGTTTAAATTTATAGTCCTCAATATATATACATGCATATGCATTGAGGACTATAAATTTCAACCCATGTCCATATTATGTCCACAAAATACAGATTTTGTTGCAGTGGAAGAGAACATTGAACAGTGCAATATACATACAAGCAAGAGTCGACTCTTGATGCAAGGCAGGTGGTGTCGATTTGACTTTTTGTCTGATAACATTTACACTAGGGCTCAAACGATTAGTCCGATTAACCGGTTGCAGACCGGTTACGAAGAATTAACGGTTAACCGATAAAGATAACGGTTACGCAGTAACTTTTCAGTCAATTTTTCAAGTATCAGGTCGTTGCAAAGTGTGCACTTTCGCGGGCTGTCGCACGCGTGCGCAATTTCTGGGCTGTCAACTCGGTCATATCTGGTCTCTTGGTGTGAGAGTATGTATGAATGAGCATGCAAGAGAATGTACAAGTGTGCGTTGTACTGAATAGGGTACATTTTTTGAATGAGTATAGTCAAATGTACGGTTAAAAAAGAGTCCGCAGGATTGCCGTGGCTTATAGGTTATAACCGGTTAACCGACCGTTAGCTTAGCAGTTAACCGTCAGGGGTAAAACCGTGACCGTTTGAGCCCTAATTTACACAAGGTGATGGACTGTTGAACGTGTACATCTCGAGCAAAGTAGTGTCTGTGCTTTCAGAGTACGTCATTGACTCATTGTATTGCTTGGCATATGGGCCATCAAAATAATATGGACACCAGTTAGTCGTACCCACTGGTGTGGGTAAGACTCCCATGCACAGTCATACTAGACTACTACTAGCAAGAGTATAACCCCCTCCCCCCCCACATACTCTTGCTACGAGTACTGCCCGAGTCCTTTGACGAGGTTGACTTCCAAGCATACCGGTACATGTAGGGAGCCAACAATAGAATCTTGCTCTTCGCAGCTTTATGTACAGCGGTGGAAAGTGAAGCCCAGATCGATGCGGTCTTGCAGTACCGAATGCCACTCGATCGGCATCGATGTTCTGGGCTCTCTCTAGCATGCATACATGGTGGCACCCAAACCGGTCCGTGGTTCTGAAAGTATTTTTACATCCAGATACATGTACTTCAGTACATTGGCTGGATTTCACTTTTCACTTGCCACAACTGTACATGTACCACACACCACTGCATGTACATTGGCTGGATTTCACTTTTCACTTGCCACAACTGTACATGTACCGCACACCACTGCATGTACATTGGCTGGATTTCACTTTTCACTTGCCACAACTGTACATGTACCGCACACCACTGCATGTACATGTACTTGATATCAATCTGCAATGACTGCAATACTACGGTTTCTCGGAACATAACATGAAATCGAAATTCACGCCTCAATTCTGCCTTGCTGCAAGGAAGGGTCCAGTTTCAAAGTAAAAATGATGTCGAGAAAAGTAAGACTGTAATGAGTGTGGTCCCTACAGGACACAGAACACCCTAGGACAGGGAGCATGTAGCCAGCCAGTGCCATGACCTGGCATGACCTGGCATCTGTAAACACATGGTAACAGTAAGAATTGTAGAAGTAAGCCGGCACGTGTAAATGTGGCAAGCACTACACATGCACCAGAGACATAATTATGATGACGTTCCGAAACAGGGTGGTGGTTCATGAATGGGATGCAGCCCATACCATGCCCGGGGTGTTGAAAGTCGCATGGTACCGTGTGCCACGACACCAGGAATGCAGCCGAGAGAGCAGGACAAACAGAAAGCTGATGCAGCCGGCGAGCAAACAGTGGCATAGCGTGTGCGTCGCACAGGCAACTGCCATAAAGAGGGCAAGAAGCGCGCGCAGTGCTTAGGCATACTTGCTGCTGAAGCCATGAATGACACGGCTCATGATCTTGATGGCGTTCTTCATGGCGGAAACCGAGCAGTACTCGTTGTCACCGTGGTAGACACTGGAGTGACCATATCCACACACCTGTACCAAGACACGGCAGCAGCAAAGCAAACACAATACAGATAGGGACACAATTGTCGAACTAGTGACAAAGCAATGTCGTCAAAAGCAACAGGATAAGCTGCTGCAAAGAGTCTTGAAGAGTTTGACGAGACATGCAGAACACATCTACTACCAGTATCCACTCAAGTTGGAATCCCAATAGAAACAAAGGTTGTAAAAGCTGCTCTGCAGAAGCGATCATCAGACAGCACGGCCATGAACACAAATTACCGAAAAAGGAACACTCAGTAACACATGACACGTGCAACAGATCAGCCAGAAGAGAGAACACTATCCAGCTGGCGTACGAGTTAGCACCTTGCTCTAGTGCTACCGCTGTGTCATGCCCAGTGCTAACTAATGCTAGCTCACGAGACAGGTTTCCATCGAGACTGACAGTACTTACAGCCCTACAAAGAATACCAATGCATTGCACATCATCATCTTCAAGTAGCAAGAGACAGCAACAGCAACAAAACACCAGCACAGAAAGACAGAGGTCAAGAGCCCACCTGAACGTCGAATCCAGCCTCCTGCAGATCGCCGACAAGTGGCAGGCTGCCGCAGATGCTGAACGGCTCTGCCTTGCCCAGCACTTCCTTTGTGGCGTTGCGCAGCATGTGGTGACCATCAGACTCAAGGTCGCAAGCAATACCCTGTGTGCAAATGAATGGGAATGGCAGACATTTGAGGGTCTTTCCCACCCTTAGACCCTTAGCAGAAAGATCACCATCTACAGGCTCATTCTATTCAAGGTGGCAGTGGTGAGCTTTTCATTTCAAGTTTTCACAAGTATCCAATCCTGGATCAGCATCCCCTTGATCTAACGTTTCATGTGGAAATGAGAGTTCATGCAAAGGAATATATAGGTATAAACCAAACGGCAAAGGCTGGTGTTTGGAAGCTGCTTATTCTACGAGCCAAAGTGGAAATTTCACTTCCCTGTCACAATTCAATAATTATGCACGGAATTCTGTCGTTTGCACTGATGTCATTCACATTACTGTCTGGGTACCAACGTAAACATTTCCCTGGACCCGGTCTCCGTACCTTGAAAGGCTCGCCTTCAAACTCCAGTGTGAGCACACCCTTGATGTCCTCACCCTCTGGCGACTTGACAACGTACTTAGAGCACGGGCCACGCGTTGGAAGAGCCGCAAAGTCGGTAGCATTCAGCTCATCAACGTATGTCTTGATCTGTGCAGAAAGAAAGATAGAGAGCAAAGCCATGGCGCAAGGCAGCACTGCTTGTTATCACAAAGCACGCGGTGTCACCGTGCCAGCATTTCGTTCAGCAACCGCACTGTGGATACAGCGTTATGCTAGATTTTAGGCCGGTCCGCATATCACTAAAGTAATTCAGTCTGACACCTTACAAGACTGACCAGGGCACTGAGCAAGGGCAGAGGTGAAGAACATAGCATACAGAACAGCGGCAGCTCTACATACCTTGGACATGACATCTTCTACATTGTAGAAGGGAGTGAGACGGATGTCGCCGATGATCTTAGTCCAGGGCGGCAGCTGGTTGAAGGATCCCTCAGCAATGCGCACCTGCAACACCACAGGCAAGAAATCCAAACCCAAAGAGACGAGAAAGAGCAGAATCCATGAGCTTGCAAACAGGACATTGGGCAGGATCTGCTGTAAGCTATTTCGATAAGGTTGAAGTTCCAAACTATACTCATACACCCACCCACACACACACACACGTGCCCACACACCGATCTTGTTACACGAAAGTATTAGAGTCACGTCTTCTTGTAAAAGAATATTTTTAAAACCACACAAATGCTTTACCTGTGTTGGCTTCATTGTGGATGGGGTGGCGAACTGATAAAGGTCTTCCTTCTCATGGGCAGGGAAGTCCTCGTAGAAGCGCTTCTGCAGGTAGGCAACGGCCTCGTTGGCAAATTCAAACGAGTTGATGCCCTGCAGTGCACACACACACATACACCCACCAACCCACACCCACACACACAGCAATCATACACAATGTGACTTTTCATTCAGGGAACACAGACCACATGCACTGAGCCCTAAAAAAAAAGGATGACTCTGACTTTGGACACTACAGCCAGGTAACCCAGCATTGGAGAGTTGGCTGAGCTGGTGTAAAGAATAACCTATCAACCTGCACCATTCGACGTCAAACACGCCATACAAGGGAGGTTTAGTTACAGGTAACGGATGCGGGAACGTGGGTGACACACGTAAAGTCCATGCAATGAACCCACGTTCGCAATGTTGTTTTCAGTCGCACGGAACAAACAAAAGCAAGAAGCGAAAGGCCCAAACTAGGTCAAAGACGAAGCTTCGAAGCTCATCGAATATTTTGATTTCGTGCTTCGAAAACTTCTTCAGCTGAGCACCCTCACAGCTTGCACAATGCGCTCCATTCTGATTTTCATTCACGTTCTGGCGGAACGCGGGCGAGCCTCCATACACGGTATGTCGTGAATCAAAAAACGGCTGTACGTGGGTCCCTGAGTACCACGTGGTACACACACGTACAGTACACACGGATTACATGGGACTAAACCTCTCTACTGATGACGTGGTTCTCACCAAAGGAAGTTCTAGTAGTCACAATTTCTCTTTACTTTAGGACAATACTTGGAGAATACATTGTTCTGATCCGTAAATGTTTCTCAGGAATGGCAAAAGGTTATTCAGACTTTTAGAGTACATGTACACCGAGAAGATAATTACAACAACAAAAGTACTGCATGCCTACATTGTGAGGCAGACCGGAGTGGAACAGATGTCCCTTGGCATGCAGATTCCAGACAATGGCGGCGGCAGTACCAACGCAAGGCTGGCTGTCAGCGCTGTCCACCCAGTAGACTGGGCCACCCTTCAGCTCATCAAGACGGCCGTCCTTCAGCAACTTGTCCACACCAACATCAGGAATGGTGCTGTTTTCCTCACTGCAACAACAGATAGGAATAAGAAACCATGATTGCCAATGAGCAGGTTACTGTAGGTGCTGGCCAGACATTTTAGAAGCAGCCTCCAGGAGAAAATTTAGATGCACATACTCGCTGGCATACACACAGTCAATCGTAAAGAACAGAAGCACAGATACGAAAGCTTGTGAGAGGGTTGGCAGCAAACCCTCACACACACACACACACACACACACACACACACACACACACACACACACACACACACACACACACACACACCAGTCAAGCTGCGCCAGTACACTCAACACACCGACGGCCGGCAAATGCACACAGTTCAGCCGCTGGGTGGACACGACTGGATTACACGGTACGCACCAAGCAATGAAGATGGCCACCATGTTGGTGTTGAGCTGAACTTTCTTCTCGGCCAGTTGGATGAAGAGCTCGGTGATAAGAGCCACATGGCCAAGGCAGTCCGTGGTACCGCGACCATACAGCTTGTCATCCTCGCGCACCAGCTTGAACGGGTTGCGGTCCCAAGTCTCGGGGTTGGCCGGCACAACATCCAGGTGAGAACCCACAAAGGAGACAATTCCCTTCAAGCACAAACAGCCACACCACACCGGCATACAGGCACATGTACACCCAACAACATGCAAAGAATTGAGCATCAACACACCACACATTTTATAACGACTTCATTCTCGCGACCAAGAAAAAAAATGAAAGGAAGAAGCGGTAGCCCGTGTGTTAAACAACATGCACAACCATCCATGATGAGTATCAATTTGTGATGCGGCATAGCTCATGAAATACTAGTACACGTACTAACTAAAGTTCCCTTTTCAAGTTTTCAACGCCCTCAACTAATGAATACTTGGTAAAGTAGTAGGGTTTCCATGCCGGGTTAGAAGGTAGGTTCTAATAGTTCCTGTTACTGGTGCTCTGATTGATGGTACATGTGTTGCTTGTTTCGGTCATTGCTCATACTGCTGCTACTGGTGGTGGTGGTGCTGCTGCTGATCCCGCTGCTTCAAGGCTGTGTCAACAAACACCAGCGAATGCCTTCAAGGCAACGCGCACTCCAGTGATTGCGATAAGACCACTGGCTCACCTTAGCTCCCTCGCTCATGTACTTGATGATCAGGTTTCCACGGCCGGGCACATAGGTGACATGCTCCACCTGGAGTGGGCCGCCATTCTCGGTGCTGTACGGGCGCAGGGCCTCAAGCAGATGCTGGATCACCCTGGAGAGAAAACAATTAAATAAGGCAGGGGGGGGGGGGACCCACACGTAATGGACAATAACTTAGTATAAGTAAGATTTGAAACGCTCTGTTGAGGCCTTGGACTAAGTTGGACAGTGGTAGCATCCTGGAAGACAGCATGGGCAAGTGGAACATGACATGATGTTGTGGTTGTATTCTTTTTTTTTATTTTACTTCGTTATGGGCACCGTGTAGGTCTTACTTCAGTGCTATTCATTTCCACCTGCCCTTGGGGCATCGGCTAGGCACCACATGCGAACCGATGATGATAGTGAGAGGAGAGAGTACAGATTTACCGGGCACAACGGAACATTGTTATCGGCGAGAGATAGAGCGTTAGATGTTCGGCATACGTGTACTGCCATTCGGCAGGCCCTTGACGTAGAGTAGATTTATTCCCGTCGCTATGCAGAAGACGTTACTTCAGTAACGTCTGGCGCTAGCCAGGGTCCACACAGCTTTAATTTGGTGTTTGTGTCACGCCTGGCGCTATCCCGTATCTGTCCCGTACCGTACCGTACCATCAAACACAGCTGGCCACATACAGCTGGCCGCACTATTCAAATAGGGCTTTCAAACGCAAGATCATAACGTGAAGCAACTTGGAAGAATGAGTATGAATGCGAAGTGTAAGGGGGAATGCATGTAGGGCGATAGTGCGGGTTCGAATCCCAGGTAATGCCTTAAAAATGGAAAAATAGGAAAATTGAAAAATTTATAACATCCCTATTCTTTTTTTGCCGTCATCAAGGCGGTAGATGGTGTCGTATTACCCTCGACCGTACCTGTCCCGTACCGTACAATCAAAGACAGCTGGCCACAATGCATATTCAAATACGGCTTTCAAATACAAGATCATAACGTGAAGCAACTTGGAAGAATTGGTATGTATGCGAAGTGTATCGGGGGATGCATGCAGGGCGGTAGTGCGGGTTCGAATCCCAGGTTATGTCTAAAAACAAAAAGTAGAAATTTATAAGAATTTATAACATCCCTATGCTTTTTTTGTCTAGGTCATCAAGGCAAAAAAGCATAGCGTTGGCCCTGAGCTTCCAAGCTCTCTCGTTCACGGGTTGTAACGAGCCAAAATTAATGTGATGAACTGCATGTGAAGTCACAGTCTCGATCACAATCATGTTACAGTAAGTATCGTTTATAAAGTGACCGGATATAATGATATACCGGTTATAGTGATAGAACACGTCAAAATCAAAATCAAATCAGAAAAAATACAGCTAAAATATCACTATATACACTATTATCGGCTATACCGATATATCGCTTATTGTGATGGACTTCAGGAAGCAAACCATATCAAATATACAGGAAAATATCGCATATAATGATCAAGAGTGATCTTTCTGCATGCTCTTGTCCGTTTCTGGCTGTGTTGCCTCTCACAATGATATTGCCAACTCACGTACACAGCCACTCATGTCTATTTCTGGCTCTACGCAACTCGTTGGACACCGAGTAGATCTACGTGAGTACGGATCCAGCTCAGGCTTTTTTTGGAGAACACGCTGAAGAAGCAGCCATGCCACAGTCATGATGTATCGAAGTTCTAGTACATGTACAGTCTGTACTCGTACTGCACTGCCATGCACTGCTCTGTGTCATGCACCGGTACACAGTCCGCGGAGCATGCATGCACTTTCAGCATGCTTTTTCCAGCGTGTACGCATCATTTCATGTGCAGTCATGTGCCATGTGTCGGTCAAACATGCAAATCGGCTATAGTGATGCACCGGATATAGTGATACATTTTCGAAAATCAAAGGGGCACGTTATATCCGATATTTACTGTACGAGTAGACCCTGCCCTGAGAGGACGTAGGATTCCAACATCCGGGATCGACATGCACATACTTCTCTCTCAGCTACAACCTTTCTTCCAAGTTCTAGCTGAAGCACACCATTACATGAACTAGTATCAATAATTAGTGGTGTGCACGGGTAGTCGGGTACCCGTGAGGACCTCGCGTAGACGGGTACAGAATAGTACCCGAAAGCCCGAAGTCGCAGATGACATAATGCACAGTGCACGTGTACAAATTCATGTAATACTCTGCAAGTTTACCCAGTGTGTAAGGGAAGGGGTGCATTGTGATGTTACCATGGAAACATTACCCGATCGGGTACCCGTGCTACCCGTGGAAAACTACCCGAACCCGAATACCCGAAGAAAAAGCTACCCGACTCAGCCCTATCAATAATGCTACAACTCAGGAATTGCAGCATAGTATGAATTATTCATACTATAAACTACTGATTTACTGCATTTTTGAAACTCGGAGCACATCGACACGAGTTCATACAAAACACAGCAAATCACCATCATTATTATTATTATAAAGAGCCAGCCATTTCACGCCCTATCATCGTGGACTACACGGCTCCGTAAAAGAGAATTATGCAGGAGGAAATAACACATGAACAGCTGAGCATACGTACTTGTCCTCTTGAGGGACAAACTTGGGTGGGTTGTTCTGAACATGCTCGCTTTCACCAATAAGCTTGGTAAGCAGATCAATATATCGCTCTTCGTTCAGCTCAGCATCGAGGAGGACGTCGTGGCTTGCCATGGCGAACTAACTTTCAAAGAACAGAGTGAAAACAGGCCTGTACTTCCGAAGGAAAAAAATGGAAAGAAAGGAGAGTGTGCATTCGAGGGATTTTACCCTTTTCAAAGTGCTCTTGCAGCCGCTACGGCGCGCTAGCTATGTCGTGTATGCGATCACCCATCACGATGGATGGACATAATTTTCTGAGAGTTCAGGAGTTGCATCGAGCACGTGATGTACCAGCGTGCAATGCCGTGCATTCATCGCGGTGGCGGCTGCTTAGCCTGTGCATCAGCGGGTGATAATATATTAATAGGTGCTGTTGGTTAGTTTGCCTCCGCATTGTGCAACTGCAGCTGCAGTCAGTTCGAAGAGGCAGATGGCCATTTGTTGTAGCTGCAGTCGTGCAGAGCACTTTGTACCCGGCATTTACTGGCATACCAAACGCTGATGTCCAGACTCCTGACATTTCGCACTGAGTCCGTAGTTGCTATCGTGAACAGCATCACGAACGGTATGATTACTTTCCGCTACAAGTACTGCCATGCTCATCGCAGGGGGTTCAATGATAATCGGGAGTGATTCCTGGCCTCGCAAGCAGATGATCGGACTTTCCAAGCTGACCCGTGGCGCGCGGTGCCCACATCAAACCTCTTTCTTGACCGTGCACACTGATCGCACCCAGTTGGGCCAGTACCTGTGTCGTGGCCCTGACCATTCGGCCTAGTGCGAACTTGATTTTGGAGACGAGTCATTCGGTGTATCAATTATCAATAATTATTTGCTGAACAGCTGGCTGCAGTCACCGGGAAACGGCTTTGGCCATATTATTATTAAAACCAACTGCACACAGTAGTGACAGTACCGTGTGAACTGCCACGGTGCCAGGCGGCGGAGACCAAGGTTGGACGACGCCGGGGCCATGCATGCCAAAGCCGGCAGTATAGTGGCGCGTCGGCCAGTGCAGGCATTGCTGCTGCGGCGGGCGCAGAACCACTCGGTGACTGGCGATGGCCTGCTGCACCGCCGTTATGCGCGGTGCCATAGCACAAGCAGTGAGTCACGCTGCACGCACTCCAGCAGCAACAACAGCAGTAGTCTAGTGCAGGAACTAATGTGCGGTAAAGGCTACAGCGTACTGCCGGGCCTAGTGTCGGCTGATGACGTGCAAAAAGCCAAGTCGATCATCGTGGAGCATTCAGAATCGCACAGCGACAAGGTAACTCACTTCCAAGGCGGCCAGGAATCGCGTAGACTGCTGCAGCGGCGCGTGTGGAACCTGCTCAACAAGGGCGAGGTGTTTGAGCGCATTGTGCAGCTGCCACGGCTCATGGAAGCCGTCGGTGCTTTCCTTGGTGACCAGTTCTGCATGGGCTCGGTGGCAGCCAACCGTATCTTGCCGGGTGGTCCGGGTCAAGAGCCCCATATTGACTACCCGTACTGGGACATGCATAAACCATCATCGTTTCCGAACAATATCAATGCATCGTTTCCGCTGAACTGTCAGGTGACCATACTGCTGGATGAGTTCACCCCGCAGAACGGTGCAACGGCAATCTTGCCCGGCTCTCAAGTTTGGTGCCGCTACCCTCAGGAGGGCGAGGAGAAGATGTTCTTTGACAAGTGCGAGCGCATGGTCGGCAAGGCCGGCGATGGTGTTATCTTCTTTGGCCTGGCGTGGCACTGTGCTATGCCTAATCACAGCAGTCGAGATCGCACTGGCGTCCTCATACAGTACCTGCCCAAGTTTGTAAAGCCAATGGAGGACCAGCGGGCTGGAGTCTCACAGCGCGTCCTCGAGCGTGCCACTCCGGAACTCAAGCAGCTGATGGGACTGACCTATCCGTATCCACAAGTACTGGACGAGGCTGCTGCAGGCAACACAGAAGGAAGACAACTCTGACCTGGACTTCTTTGAGTCGTATTATGGCACAGATTCATTTCGACGTCTACTTGTACACAGTCAGACCCAGACACGCTCTGTGGCCTAGCTGATTTGGTAGGATTGAGGACTCTCATCACTCACCAGTCAGATACCTTAATGCCATCGTGGCTTTGACAACTTCACACAACAGATTGGAGATTACAAGCAGGCACGGAACAGAAATCTGAGTGCTAGACCCAGTAGTGCTATAGCGTTATCACTTATCAGGTACTTGAACCAGTAGTACTGAAGTACAACTTGCTCGGTTTCAAGTGCAGCACAGCTACTCCTAGGGTTTATTGATCCATGATCAGCCATTTATGTCACATTGTAGTGAAAGGTCCCGCATCAAGTTTCCCAAAAGTGCCAAATGCAGCAGTGTGTTCAACTACTAGTACATCAGGAACAACTGGAGACTAAGTCCGAGCACGCAGAAGCCGATCATCAGACAATACAGTGCTTTTATGAAGACTTTTAAAAAGAAATACTTCAGTAACTTCTTTTTCTTATCATAAAGCCTGTCAACTTGAAAACATAATTATTATTTCAACGTAAGAGAAGTTTGTGACGTATCTAAATAGACAGTACATGTATTTAATTTTTCAAGCATGCCAAAATGACAATAATGCTGATGTCTAAGCACAGTTTAATAATAGCAAACCTGGAACTGGCACAGGATGGTGCAGAGAACAAAATTTCAACATTGAGAGGGCCCAATGGCGGTGTGATGCGTGACTGTGAAGCAAGGAGCTGATGTTGTTTTTCTTTTTAAATCCAACGCATTCTATTCAAGTAAAGCATCACGAGAAGATGTAGATCTACCAGAGACTAAAATTATTACATCAATGCACTACATTAGCCATAATATGTCAGTCTTTACATCTGAAGTGTGTTTCTCTAAATGCGATGGGTGCTAGTTAAAAAAAAGCTTTTAAAAAAGGTGTTCCAAATGAAGAGACTAAGGCTAGATGCCTCCCATGCACTAAAATAGCCATATGCCAGTCTCTACAACATGGGAGGTAAGAATCTACACATGTGAAGCATGGAAGTAAAGGAAAAAGTCAAACAATGCAATACGAACTTGAGGCAACTGACCATTTGGAATCCAGCCAAGTGATGACAGCAGATAATTGTAATAAAACCAGAAACTGATACAAAGTGGAGACTCGGGAAATTAAAGCTGATGGCAAGCCTTGAACAAAACGAAACACCAAAAGGCTGAGCAAGCAAGCAAGTAAGAGAGGAGAGCGAGGAGAGAGAGAGAGAGAGAGAGAGAGAGAGAGAGAGAGAGAGAGAGAGAGAGAGAGAGAGAGAGCAGCAGCCAGTGAATTGTCATTACCAACCACACTTGCATCCACGCACAGCATGGAAGAACATGGCAATGATCTTGTCAGCTTCTTTGAGAATAGTCGGCCAAACAGCATCCAGAGTGACATCACCACCAAGCGCATAGCACAGTGCTGCTTGGCCGTCCTGGTGTGTGATGCCAGTCAGCAGAGTAGATCCGCTGCAGCAGTTCACTGCTTCCACAAACTCCCGGTTCATGCGGTCGATGTTGATGCCGTGAATGGTCGTGGCCTCGGACAGTGTGATGGAGAACTCACGGTAACCGGTCAGGCGGAAGATAACAATACTGGCTAGGTCGTCCCGTGCTATCACATCAAAGCGACAGTCGGAACTCACCAGTGCATGGGCCTGCTCAAGGAGGCCAGGCAGCAACGACGTCGGAATAGTGCTCGGCGGCTCCAAGCACTGTCGGATTTCCTGCTCAGGCAGGTGGCGACCAAGAATGACCAATTGCACAGAGGCTGCACCCACAGCACTTTCCATGGCAAGCTCAAAGCGCTGCCGGCCACTCCAATGGAACATATACCGGTGGTGAGGTAGTTCGGCGAAGAACACGTTGCCCTTGGCACGGTACACGTTCTCCATGCATTTGGATCCTAGGAGGTCCTGGAAGCGAGACAGCATCAGTGGACTACTTGACTCGACCACCATGGATCCAAAGTGGTCCTCCTCCATGTGACCCTGGTTCTCTCCTTTCAGCGCTGCCTCAATACTCTCGGTGCTGCGCAGCTTTCCACCGCTGTCAGGTAGTGCGTACGCAGCTCTCGTTGCCTCGTGCGAAACAAGCTGCGGACCAGTCGTGGCCGGGTTCACGTCCAAGACCCAATTGAGAGGCACGGCACAGAACTTACTGGTGCGCACGATGACGCCGGGGCCGGCTAGCTGCCGCACGCCCGTCTCGGCCGCTGCTAGCTCCTCGGCTGAAGCAAGGTCTCGCTTGTTCAGAAGCACGACGTCAGCATACCTGAGACATGGCAAAGTCAACAAGCAAGCAAGGTCATGAGGCATTGCAATGATTAGTAAATACATGCACTAGCCTAATAGTACCATACAGTATCAGCGCATCACGCACACAAACACACTGGCAAACTATCAAAATGGCAGTGCAATGCATGCCTACATACAAGTTGTTTCAAAGTAGTATAGCCTGGAGCACCCCTTTCCAGGTCGTGCCACCCCGCAGCATCCAAATCTTGTGGCAACCAGACTAACTATAAACGTAGACATGACACTGTGAAGCGTCAGATCCATTGCCAGTCAGGGAAACCAACGATTAAAACAAATCGCCTATAAAGAACAGTCTGGTATGTCCCTGCCACATGACGTTGAACACACTGCAAGGAAAGTGAACGTTTCCCCATAAATACCGTATTTTACCGGTTGTAAGTCGACCCCGGTTATAGGTCGACCCCCGTATCCGGAGGTCTCATTTCTGCGTTTTAAAGTTTTCACCCAACGAAGCACTACCAACCACTCCCTGCTACTAACACCTCAACAAATCATGTAAACATTCCTTATTGGAGGGTATAACGTCCCAATCCTTGAAAAAGGCCAATAAACTGGCAAACATGTGTACACATGGTGCACTCATGCATGCAGGGCAAGTCATTTTTTTGTAAGACTCTGATAGTTCCCGGTTATTAGTCGAATCCCGGTTGTAAGTCGACCCCCACCCTTTCTCCTTCTATTTTTAGTCGTAAAAGGTCGACTTACAACCGGAAAAATACGGTACCTAGTGTTTCGGTGCAAGCCGCATACAGATTGCACCTCTTGTTTCCCACCCCTTCACAATCTGGAAACACAAGGTCTGTCATTAGCCCAGTGGCCACAGTATGAAATAGGTCCGGATGTGCTTAGTGTGCCTTGTGCATGCATCTAAGTGCACGGCTTCATACATACGGACCTGCACCCGGGACAGATAGACAGGCAGACAAGAAGAGGAGAGAGATCATGGCTGTGTGTGCATGTGTGTGTGTGAGAGAGAGAGTGTGCGTGTATGTGTGTGTGTGTGTGTGTGTGTGTGTGTGTGTGTGTGTGTGTGTGTGTGTGTGTGCGTGTGTATGTGTGTGTGTGCTGCATACAACTGTAATCTGTATGTGCATGTGGCGCAATACAGCGCCACCAAAATAAGAACATACTTGAGCTGGCTCTGGAACGCAACTGGCAAGGATCCGTCCTTCTTCGTCAGCGTGAGAAAGTAGTCGATGTCCACCACTGTGACCACGGAGTCCAGTCTCACTCGATACATCTTACCAAAGTCTTCCTCAAGCGCACGGATACTAGAAAGTGGGTCACTGACGCCACTGGTTTCGATCACTAAGTAGTCTACATTGCCTTGGTCACATTCCTGCATTAGGGTCCATACAGCACTGCGGAAATCCTTCGCAATAGAACAGCACAGACAACCATTGGTCAGGGCAACAATATTGCCCCGTCCCGAACCGTCCGCGGGGCTCTCCTTGGCAACCAACTGAGCATCGATGTTCACTGCAGCAAAGTCGTTCACTGCTGCGGCAATTCTCAAATTCTCCTTATTGCTGAGGACAAATCTGAGCAGTGTTGTCTTGCCAGCACCCAGGAACCCAGTGACAAGGGTTACAGGTAGTCTCTTGCGTTTCTCGCCCCATGCTGCATTCTCGCGATGAACGTAAAGGTTGCACCTGTCAGCGACGTTCATTGTGTATCCCCCCTCCACCCACAGCTATTCCCTGCAATCTCCTATTATTGTAGTTTTAAAGTCAGATCACAGGTGGCTGCAGCTACTGTAGTTGAAAGCAGAGACCAAAACTTGAGCTTACGCCAATTAGTTTCAGGATTTTTTCATCAGCTTTCCACACAAACAGCCTACTCAATGGGTCATATAGACGTCCAGACTCGGAGAAGAAAGCTAAAGACGTTAGATTTGAGCCAACATCAAAACACAGTAATAATGCAAGACATCAAGACTGTACTGCCAAGCCAGCAGGCATGCAGGACTTCAGAAAGCAATCAATAATTATTATTTTTTTGGAAATGCCAACCTCGCCTCGACTCACACAAGTCAACCGTAGACTGTGTAGATCAGGGAGTTGTAAAATACCGGTATTTTACGACTCCCTGGTGTAGATCTACGTGTGCGTGCAGTGACTCCAGTGCTGGTCGTTATCTGGTTATGACGGATCAGCATGAATGGCGGGGAATCCCCTCGAAGTGGCTGCCGTTGTAGGCGGAGGCCACACAGCAAGACTCCAAAGCCAAAGCCTCAAAGGACCAAAGCAAGGAAATCCCATACATGTATTAAAGGTTCGTATCTATGGTTCTACTGCTCCTGTGTTCACCCCTTCGTCTCCAAATCCCTCAACCCCAGCATTCTACTCTACAATTCATCCATCCAACCGACTAAATGTTGGCCACATAAACATTTGCAGCCTACGACATAAAACCCATGTTATAACTAAGCTAATAGATGAGCACTGCCTAGATCTGCTGGCGGTTACGGAAACGTGGCTCGACTCAAGCATCTCGGACACTGAGGTTTCTGTACCAGGCACAATTCTCTTACGTCGAGACAGGCCGTGCGCTGATGGATGCACTTGCCTATCCTCCTGCACTCCATGTCGTAAAGGAGGCGGGATCTGCATCTTCGTAAAGGAACATGTTAAGGCTAAGCACATCTTGGACCACTCACACTCCAGTCTAGAGTTGATGTGGCTTAGAGCTGGCACAGGCAAAGATAGTACCTTGTTTGGTTGCATATACCGTCCCCCATCCGAGCCGGTAGAGTTTTGGAATCGGCTCGCTACATCCACGGAGCAGCTGGACGGCGAGAATATTGTGTTGCTAGGTGACATAAATGTGGACTTTCTGCGTCAGACGTCCAGTGCGTTCCACCATCTCAAAGACACGTTGCTACTTCCGTGCAGACTGGCCAATAAAGTAACTGAAGCAACAAGAATAACAGGCTCTACCCGTACATCCATTGACTGTATTCTCACAAACATTGATCGAGTTCCGTCAGCCTCTGTCGTGGACTGTGAGTTTTCAGACCATCGCCTCGTCATTACTTCCGTCCCAGTGCCCATCATGGATGCGCGGAGCAATACTACTACCCATCAAACACGCAGAGACTACCGGAACTTCAACGCTCAGCGTTTCTGCGATATGCTGCTGTCCTCCGATCTTCATATCTTTACATCCCGTACCCCAGACCTGATGTTGGACGAGTGGACAGGGAAAGTCAATGCTGTGCTTGATATCATCGCACCGTACGTAACCAGGAAACACAGGAAGTCCCGTCGGAAAAATTGCCCGTTCATGACCTCGCCCCTCCTTGCCTTGATTAGAAAGCGCAAATCGGTCTTCAAGAAACTAAAAGCTACTAACTTTCGAGACGAGAGCCTATCTGTACAATTCAAGCGGCTGCGCAACCAGTGCAATAACTTGTATCGACACCTACAGAATCTATACTTTTCAGACCAGTGCCAGCGGTATGAACGGGAGCCTCGGCAGTTCTGGAAAGCCTTGAATATGATCACAAAGCGTTCCTCTCCGAAGCAAACGGTTACCATCCCACCTGAGCGATTGAACGACTATTTTCACTCGATTGTCACAGATAAGGAAGCGAATTACAAGCTCCCAATGGGACCTGCTAAATCCGACGACCTTACTACGTTTTCAGCCGTTACAGTAGCAGAGGTGAAGCTTCGGATCGGTGACCTCCAAAGTAATAAAGCCCCTGGACCGGACGGCATTCTTCCGTGTCTACTTAAAATATCAAAAGACGTAATTGCTCTATCACTTGCTATCTTATTCAACACTTCCCTCTCGTCTGGTCAATTCCCATCCTTGTTCAAAATTGCAAACATTACACCAATTCTGAAGTCAACTCAAGGCCCCCGCGACTGCCCTTCTAACTACCGCCCAGTGTCTTTAACATCTATCCTAGCCAAGCTCCTGGAGGGGCTTGTGTTTTCTCGTATACATCTTTTTTTTAATGATCGTTGCCCATTCCATGTGGACCAGTTTGGCTTTCGGAAGCACCGTTCTACCGGACAGCTTCTCACCAAGGTTACGAACGACTGGCTTGTCTCGCGCGACGCTGGACTGCATACGGCGGTTGTCTGTATTGATTTGAAAAAAGCGTTCGATATGGTGAAGCATCAACAGCTTCTTCTTGCTCTCGCAGCTGTCGGTATTTCGGGAGTGGCCCTGGCCTGGTTCCGATCATACCTTTGTGCCAGACAACAGCGGGTGGTTACCCACACTGGAACATCTCCGTTGTTGGCAATCACTAGTGGCGTGCCACAGGGCACCATTCTGGGTCCGGTGCTATTTAACATATATGTACGGAAGCTCCCATTGACAGCAGAGGCCTTTTCTTGCAAGCTCCCGATGTTCGCTGACGACATGACGTTGTATGCCAGCAGACGTACACAAGCTGAGGCCGTCGCTACCGTTACTGATTCGTTATCTGCAATTTCTGTGGATCTAGACGAGCTTGGGCTGCGCATTAATACAACAAAGACTGTAACTTTGATGATTTCTAAGTCTTCTCAACCCCTCTCAACTCCAATCGTTTTTAACCAACAGCCTCTGACTCAAGTGTCTAGCACGAGAATCCTGGGAGTCATTGTAGACAGTGATGTTTCTTGGTCTGGTCACATAGACTTTATCGTTAGGAAGACTTGCACGAAAATTGGCGCTCTTCGACGGTGTTTTCGGCAACTAAGTTTGAAGGCAACACGGCAGTTTATCCTCTCGGTTATCCTGCCTGACTTATTATACTGCTGCTCTTGCTTTGCAATGAAGCTATCCGCCAAGGACCGACAGCGACTCTCGTCCGTTTATCGTCGTTCTGTACGCGCTGCTTGTGGCTCGAAACTACAAGAGGACGTCATGCCGCTGTTAGCTAGATTGTCGATTGATCCGTTTGAACATTACCTTATTCGTAGCATTGCTAAATTTATCCATGTTAATCATGTCGTTTTCCCTCTCCCAAATCTGACGGACCTTTTCCCTCAAGTTTCAACCGGCCCTAGGACAACAAGAAGCTCTTTTAATGCTGCTATTGCAATATCTAAATTCCGGACGACTGACGGTGTCAATTCCTTTTCAAATCGTGCTGCCCTGTTCTTTAATTCTTTGCCTGTGGAGTGGCGCACCCAGCACCGCACTACATTTGCTAAGCACCTTCAGACCATGCTAAAAGACGCAGCGTCTTTTCAGAAGTATTTTGATCTTCTTTTCAGCAAACTCCCTCATTGATCTGCACCGCCTGTATTGTATAACTGTGTTTACTGCGTTCCTAGTTTAAATTCGTTTTTAAAAACATCTCTTTAATTCTTGCACTATCCCATTATGACCATGCTTAAAGACGCAGCGTCTTTTCAGAAGTATTTAGATCTTCTTTTCAGCAAACGGCCTCATTGATCTGCATCGCTTGTATTGTATACCTGTGTTTACTGCTTACTGCTTACTGCTGCTTTATTGTTCCAAGTATCAGTTTAGTTTAGTTTAAATATCTCTTATTATTATTATTTTTTTTCTCACCCCACACCCCTCTACCCTGTTATCGGCCCTCTTAAGAGTTGTGTTCATCACTGTTGAGGCTTCCGATGGAAAATAAAAGAATACTACTACTACTACTACTACTACTGCTCTCGCCATCTTCATTCGGTCCGTCAATTCATAGTAGTGATAGGTTTTTCATTTGACCGAACGAGACCACACGACGCTTGCGGATGACCATGAGTGCGAACAGCTAGTTCACCAGCCACATTCAACTCAAGGCTTGTGACGATAGCACGTAGTGTTTACTCTTGACGAATCTTGTTTCGTTCCATAAAGATGACGGGAACTCATCAGAGGAGAAGCAGTAACTGTTGTTGAATGAAGGGTTTAGGCTGAATAATGCTACACTATTTTACACAGAAAATACTGGCGCAAGGTGTGACCACTCCGACGAATATGTGACAACTTGAACCAACACAAAAAGGAATACTAGCTAGTAGTGCAGAATGGAGATACATCATCATGTATCATGAACCCTACCAGATGCACCTATCACAAGTGCTTGTAGTCAATCATTTGTATTTGTATTTGTATTATGGATTCTCCACAGGCCTTAGCCTAAATCGAAGGAGTCTCCGTCAACAGCTTTAATATGAAGAAGAAGCTGAGGAGAAAAATAAAATAGGAAATAGAATGATGCGGGGTGGTAGTAATAATTATACGGTAACACAGTGCTCTATGACATCGCTACTCTACGTGGAATGAAACCAGAGGGCTCATAACGGGTGATAGCAAAGTGTGTGCGGACAAGAGCGGTAAAACATTTTGGGCTGGATACAGTACGAATGGCAGCCGGGAGGGAGTTCCATGTGGCAGTGGTGACAAAGAGAAAGGTGGAACGGGTGTATGTGCTGGCTCTAGCAGGTGCCCCGGGAGTAGATGTTGGGGGCGCCTGGCGCTGTTTGACACTGAGTAGCCTAGGACTAGCTAGGTCCTCCAGGGTCGTCATCTGGCTATTGTCAGTATTGATAAGGTGGTGGAGCTCGAGAAGGCACTGAATGTGTCTTCGCCATGCGAGGCCGGCTGGGCCACTGGAGGTGCGCGAAAAGTGAGGCTTTCGGCTTCGTTTGAGGAGTGTATACGCCATACTGCCGCTTGATCACATGTGACGGTGCCACTCTTGCCTGTAGCCGTTCAACTACGGCTAGTAGCCTGGCCCTGGGCACTGGGGAGTTGAAATTCAACGCGGCCAGAGGGATGAGGCGTATTCAACCACAGGTCGAACATATCAAGTGTACAAGCGGCTGGCTACGGCTGGGGTGATGCGCTTGGTCATGTGGATCAACAGGACCGCTCGCTGGCGAAACTTTGTCGTGATGGTGGCGACGTGGTTGGTGAAGTCGAGGTTAGAGTCCAAGATGACTCCAAGATGTCGGTGAGTCGTAACACCAGGCACGTCATCCCCCCGCATTCTCAGGTGCGGAGTCGGATGA